CTTGCTGGCAGTTAGGTAGAGGTTGCTGTCATTACTGTTGATGCCTAAAGAAGGGTGGGAAATATGTGAAGCAGGTTTGGAGACTCACTGTGCCCTCTGCCACCCTCAACCAGGTGGGCACTCACGGACAACATCCCCAATGCGTCGGGCCCCTGATTTCTCCAGCTCAGCCAGCACATTGGCCTCAAAGGTCAGTGCTGCCACACGGAAGAAGAATTCTCGGACATTCTCACCTGACACAGGGAGTAGATAGGTGTTCAGGGACAGTGCTGGGAATGGGGGCACAGGGCACAGCTGGAGGTGTAGCAGTGACAGGAGTGGAAGGCAGGAGTGCCACAGCAGAGGCCTGAAGCCTCCAACTCACCAGTGAGAGATGAGACTGCCCAGTACTCAGCCTTCATCTCCTGGGCCACCTTGAGGGCATCTTTCTCCATCAGTGCATATTGAGCAGGGGTCTGAGGGAAGGTCAGAATCAGAGGGGGGCATTCCCTCACCAAGATGGGAAGTCCCCCCACTGGCACACTCACACTCAGGTCCTTCTTGGAACCTACGAGGAAGAGAAGCACACTGGAAGGGTCATTCTCCTTCAGGGCATCAGCCAGCCACTGCCTGCCATGGGTAGTAGAAAGTGAGGGAGGAGTGAGCCTGCTGGGCTCCTCCCTCTGACATTCATATGTCCAATGACACCCTCTCTGGTCCTACATGCATTCTTCTTCCTGACCACCCCTCTGTTCTGAACCCTCTCTTCCTGGAGCCTCCCATTATATTGCAGGATGTTCACATACTTGGTATGTTCCAGAGATGCCACGTCATTCAGGTTGAAGACAATGATGATGGCTGGAAGAGTGGCAGAAACAGCCGCAGGTTGACAGGGAAGCCACTACTGGCTCATTTCCCCAATCCTTCCAGCTCTAGATGAGAAGCCATGTACACTCTGAGACCCACCTACCTCACTTCACCCAGTCGCTTACCTTGAGCTCCTCGGTAGTAGGTTGATGCAATGCATTTGAACCTCTCCTGTCCAGCGGTATCCCAACTGGGAGGAAGGAGGAGTAAAGCACACGTGTGTGCTGGGGGGTGTGGGTGCTGGGGGAAGGGATGGCTGGAAGGGGTGTGGAAGCACTCACAGCTGCAAACTGAAGGGGATGCCCAGCACCTCAAATCGTTCCATCTCAAAGTCCACTCCGATGGTGGCCTTATAATTCTTATCAAAGGTGTCTTTGCAGAACCTGAGAGGTTACCAGATGCTTCAATCTGGAGTCAGCCCACCTGGCTAGGCTTGGCCCCACCCTGCCCAGTTCAGCTCCAGCACCCCCTTACCTATTAATGAGGCAAGTCTTCCCCACCGACAGGTCCCCCACCACAATGACCTTGGAGATCTTAAATCTGCTGGACACAAGAGTGGGCAAGGGGAATGGGCAAGAGCTCTTTCTCCCTAGGGAGTTCCAATGCTCCTGACTAGGTCCACGAAGGTAGCCGCACCTACGTCGAGGGACTTATAGACACCAGGCGTCCCAGGCAGCTGCCTGGACAGATGTGCCAGGGAGGAGGAGTGTTTTATGCTCCAGCATCAGAGAGACATGAATTTGAATCCCAGCTCTCACACTTATTAGGTGTGTGACTTTCGACATGTTATTTAGCCTCCCTAAGCCTCAGTTTCAGCACTTAAGTGGTTAGTATATATTTTATTGGGTAGTTGTGAAGGTTAAAATGAGATAAATGTCCTATGTTCTAAGACACCCTCCCCCACCATTTTAACATCTCTGAAATCAGAATATATCTTAAGTGATGGTCTTTTCCATTCAATAAAGATAATGATAGTATCCAACACTGCCTGGCACACAGCAAATGCTCAGTTAATGGTGGCAACTGTTATCAGTATTACCTTTAAAACCCACAGTAAGACTCATCCCTGTAAGCACAGCAAGACCCCTGCCCTGGGGCTCCATGGATGCTATGTGAGGTTCTGAGCAGGTGACCACCTTCCCATCTCAGACACCTTAGCCTCTACTCAGGAATCCAGCTGCCACCCTTTACCCCACCCCATCTCAAAGAACTCACAACCTTGTTGGAAAGAGAGGAGAGAACACAGCGGCTTAAAGAGGGGAAATAACCATATAGCTGGTAGGGGCTGAAATGAAGCCCCAAGAGGGAGGTTGTTTACCCTTGCTATGGCTAGTTCCCTGGGACATCCTCTCTTTGATATGGGTGTCCCTAACTCACCCCACGGTGCCTGTCCGGTGCTCCTGGCAGGCGCAGATGACGCGGGGGTGGAAATCTTTGTGCACGTGCAAAGCGGCCTCCTTCCTCAGGCACTTAGTGGGAGGGATGATAGAGAATGGAGCTTCCGGCTCCTGGCCCTTGTCCCGCAGCCAAGCAGCCCGGGTAGGGGCGGAGTGCAGGGACCACCCAGAAGCAGCAGGCCTAGCTGGGTGGCAGGCTGGGCCCAGTCCTCTAACTCGTCAGGTGCCGCCTCATCCTCCCCGCCCACACCCTGGGCTGTAGACAGGAGCCTCACGTGGCCCTGGCGCCTACCTGGGGCAGCTCCGCCAGGACGCGGTCCCTCCGCACTGGAGCCAGAATGTTCATCCTGCCTGCGGCCTTGCTGGGCACCTTGAGAAGGAGCCGAGGCCGGATCCGAGCCAGCGACCCGAGCGCGTGGAGACCCGACGATCACCCGCGGCCGGGGTGTCCCGACTATAACTCGGGGCCACGGAGACCCTATGGGAGTCCGCGGTCTCGGAGACGCTACGACCACCGCGGGCCACGGAGATGAAACAATCACCCGGGGCCGGGGCGAGCCCACAATCACTCGGGCCCTGGGCGTCCCAAAGATGACTCTGGGGCGAGGAGACTCCTCGGCCGCCAATTGCGGGCGGGGAGTCCCGTCTGGTGGGGGCCGGGCCCGCGCAGACCCTACGATTACGCGGGGTCGGACAGTGCCTACGATAACCCGGGGCCGCGGAGACCCGACGTCATCTCGGGGCTGAGGCGGCCCTACCATAACAGAACGGCCCGGGGGCGCAGAGCGGCCCCGCCACACGGGGTCAGTGTGCGCAGGGGCGGCGCTGCCAAGGCCGGCAGGCCGCTGGAGGAGGGGGCGAGGGGCCCAGTCCGGCTGCAGGGCCTCGCGTCCCACTCCGCTCGGGCTGCGCGAACGCTGTAACACGATCCCCGGAAATTCCTGGAGAAGGGCCGCCCCCTGCCCCTCTCCTGGCCGCTGCAGGCCTCGCAGCCCGCCCTCGCCTCCCTCTCCTCTCCTCCCCTCTGCGCTGCCCAGCTCAGGCTCCCTCGCCTGACGCCTCACCGGGCACCGGGACCGCCCCCAGCCAGGCTGGAGCCTATCCAGATAGGAACTCCCCAGCCTCCTCTCCCTTGCACCTCTAAGCCGGGCTGCGCCTTCATGGGAACCCTTACCCAGCTGAATTGGTGATGGGGAATCGGAGACTGCTGCGCAGCATCTGGCGATGCGAGGAACCCGCGGGGAGGGAAAAGGGGGAGAGAAGGGGCCCAAGGAGAGGCGGCGCTTCGCTCCTCAACTCCAGGCCCAGGAGGTGACTCATAGAGTCTGCCCTGCTCGCCCTTCTGCCCTGGGATGTGGAAGGGGGGAAGTGTTTGAAGGGGGTGCCAGGGTTAGAATGAGGTGCCCACCGAGGAGAGAGACGTCTGAAGTCTGGCATCTTTTCCTTCAAGGCTGCTGTGGAGATTGGGAGGTGGAAGGGCTGAAGATCAAGTTGCTTCCCTCGACAGAGGATAAAGAAGGGCTAAGTGGATCGGGAAACTCCGCTCTTTGGGGTGCTCTCCTCTCTGGGAGGTGGGGACTCCCCTCCGGTGTGGACGTTCATTGTTCTGACCCCATTGGAATCTTTACCCCCCAAGGACAACTTCTCCTATTTGCAAAGTCCTGCCGGATAGAAGAGGGGGTAGTGCACAATCAATTTCACCGTCAAAGGGGATGTCTCTGGATTTGTGAGGGGAGAGGGAAGACGGAAAGGATCAAGGGAGATGGGTTAGGCACACACCTCAGGAGAAGCAAACATGAGTGTTATGAAACCTTGTCCTGTGTCTGGAGCTGAATTTGAGGATGTAAAGATGACCCGGACATGGAAGGGAAGACTAGTTTAGGGTAGGGGACTGTGAGTGAAGTTACTCACAGGAAGAACTAGTGAATCTTGGAGAAATGCGTGGAATTTTCATAGAACTGCAAGAGCATGATCAGAAATGCAGGAAAACTGAGTGCCAGTGTCTCAGGTGAAGAGGGGCAGGTGTGGCCTCCTTGTACTTCTTCTGACACTTGTCCCCCTTGTAACTCGATTTTTTTTTTTTGAGACAGGGTCTCACTCTGCCACCCAAGCTGTAATGGCTCACTGCAGCCTCAACCTTCTCGGCTCAAGAGATCCTTCCACCTCAACCTCTCAAGAAACTGGGACTACTAGCACGCACCACCATGCCTGGGTAATTTTCGTATTCTTTTGTAGAGATGAGGTTTCGCCATGTTGCCTAGGCTGGTCTTGAACTGGGCTCGCAGCAATTCGCCCACCTCGGCCTTCCAAAGTGCCGGGATTACAGGCGTGAGCCACCGCGCCCAGCCCTGACTTAATATTTTTTCGGCTACCAAATCACTGTGTTATCGATTAATCACATTCCTCTCTGGACCTCAAGTTTCCACAGATGCTGGCTGAGGGAGTTCGACCGAGCAAATCTTGCTCCAGCACTCTAGAACTTAGCTGCATCTAACTCCCGAGTCAATCTAAATGTGTTCTTTCCGCTTGGCAGCGTTCCTGCCTCCTGGCGTGGCAATCCTCTTCCCTGAGACTGGCGGTTGATCAAGATGGGAAGCTCCTGGGACCAGACCCAAGCGACACCCGGCTACGCAGGCCACTGACCTGAGCAAATAAACGCGTGTCTTCAAAAAACTACAACCCCCATGAAGCTTTAGTGCCTTTGAGGGGAGGAGTCGTGCATGCTAGTTCACGCTCGAAAAAGAAATTACACCTAACTACCGTTCCCAGAAGGCGCCACTCTGCAAATTACCCAGTCAGCGCTAAGTGCAAAGCATCGCGAGTCTTTGGTGAGATTTGGCGCTATAAGCCCGTGGGACCGGGTGTCGGAGACCCTTTTCGCAAGATGGCGCCGAAAGCGAAGAAGGAAGGTGTGTGCTAGGGATGGGGGCCGCTGTTGGTTTACCGGGGATCGTCGCGCCGCAGAGCGAACGAATTGGGAGTATGGCAACTGGACTAAGCCCTGAGGGCTGTGCTCCGAAGCTGCTCCCCGGGTTTCGAACACGCAGTATGCGAGGGCCCAGCCTCATGGGCTGAGTTCCTGTGGAGGGAGTTGGGGTGGTCACCCCACCGGCATTATCACCCGCCAGGGAGAGCCAGACAGTCGGCTCTTCTGGTTCACGTTTGACTGGCTGCATTACCCGCCCCCTCCGCGTGGTTTTGCGATGGGGTATGTGTAAAATTCGTAGGACATGTTCTGGAAAGTTAATCAAGCTTTCCTTCAGTGCTACTTTGTTTCTTAGTATTCCTGGAGCTGCGAGTTGGTCACTTTCGCCTCTGGTATCGTGCATATGATGGAAAAATTTTAATCTCCTGACACTTGTGATGTCTGCAAAGGAACCACTGATGCACGTGTGGCCAGGGTCGCCCACTGTAGTTCTTGAGGCCGGAAGTGGCCTATTTTTAAATTCCTCACGCTCATTTTCTTTTCTTCTTTCCCAGCTCCTGCCCCGCCTAAAGCCGAAGCCAAAGCGAAGGCTTTAAAGGCCAAGAAAGCAGTGTTGAAAGGTGTCCACAGCCACAAAAAAAAGAAGATCCGCACGTCACCCACCTTCCGGCGGCCCAAGACATTGCGACTCCGGAGGCAGCCCAAATATCCTCGGAAGAGCGCCCCCAGGAGAAACAAGTCAGTACTGCCCCACTATCCATGAAAAGATTTGGGTATCGTCCATTGGTAATTGGGAAATTCACTCACTGTGTGTGATGGCTTCTCAGACACAAGTTGTGTTCAGTGTGCTTCTCTTTTTTATTTTAAATAGAGATGGGGTTTCACCATGTTGGCCAGGATGGTCTTGTGATCCGCCAGCCCCGGCCTCCCAAAGTGCTGGGATTACAGACGTGAGCCATTCCCAGCCCAGTGTGCCTCTCTAATCGGAAGAGTGAGGATATTGCTTCTGCCCCATTTACAATGCTGGCAAGAATTCTTTTTAAATCATCCCAGTGGCCCGGCGCCGTGGCTCACGTCTGTAATCCCAGCACTTTGGGAGGCCTAGGCGGGTGGATCACCCGAGGTCAGGAGTTTGAGACCAGCCTGACCAACATGGAGAAACCTCGTTTCTATTAAAAATACAAAATTAACCGGGTAGGGTGGCTCATGCCACCTTGAACTGGGGAGGTGGAGGTTGTGGTGAGCGGAGATCGTGCCATTGTACTCCAGACTGGGTAACAAGAGTGAAGCTCTGTCTCAAAACAAAAAACCCGGAGTGTCTCAAAATTTCTGGTAGGTTAATTATTGCTTCACATCTGGTTACGGTTTGAAAACTATTTTGAGGAGTGTATAAAATAGAGTTATAGAGATTCCTTTCTCATAGCTCCAACTGCTGTAGGGAACAATTCTTGAGGGCGAGAATGTGGGTTGATTCTTTATTGATAATGGGGATTCCATTATCTATATTTCGCAGTTATGGCCTGCAGCGGTGTATAGAAGCTTTGTTCCATTAATTTTCCCAAATTTTCATACTGCTGAAGGAATGGTTGGGGGAAATGAGCAAAATGTTGGGCACTTGAGTATTTGAGCTACCAGTAATAACTGACATTTTAGCGACCACAGATTTGAGTAGAGCATTGGTAATAGTTACTACCAATGGGTTTTTGCTGCTTCTGCTCTTTTAATCCTAAGAGAAAGAATGAGAAAAGAAAAAGCCGGGCGCGGTGGCTCATGACTGTAATCCCAGAACTTTGGGAGGCTGAGGCAGGCAGATGACCTGAGGTCAGGAGTTCCAGACCAGCCTAACCAATATGGTGAAACCCCATCTCTACTAAAACTACAAAATGAGCTGGGCGTGGTGGTGCATTCCTGTAATCCCAGCTGCTCAGATGGCTGAGGCAGGAGAATTGCTTAAACCTGGGAGGTGGAGGTTGCAGTGAGCTGGGATCATGCCATTGCACTCCAGCCTGGGCAACAAGAGCGAAACTGTCTCCAAAAAAAAAGAGTGGATTGCATATGGGAAAGCAGTTCACAGACTGTCTTCCTGCCCCTCCCCCACCAAGTTGGACCTAGAACTTAGTGTGAAGTTTAGACCTGACCTGGTTTCAGACCAGAAAAGTAGTGTCTGAGTAAACAGCCTGCCGCTGACTTTTAGTGGGGAAGGCTGTATTATAGTTGTGCTCAGCTGTACATAAGAATTTGCTCTTGAGGGATGGAGGTGGCGGCTCACACCTATAATCCCCGCACGTTGGGAGGCCAAGGCAGGTAGTAGATCATGAGGACAGGAGTTGTTCAAGACCAGCTTGGCCAATGTGGTGAAACCCTGTCTGTATTAAATATAAAACTAGCTGGGTGTGGTGACACTCACACGGAGGTTGCACTAAGCCAAGATTGTGTCAGTGCACACCAGCCTGGGCGACAAATCCATCTCAAAAAAGAGAAAAAAGATTTTCATTTCAAGAATTGGTGGCCCTCAATCATAGAGCCAGTTTTCGGCAACCAAAAGGGGCAGAAAAGCATGAGTCAGCCTCAAAGTTGAACCACCAGAGTGGAACTCTACCAAATAGATGATTTATTTACTGGAGACTCACTATGTCACTAAGCTGGGGTGTACTGGCGTGATCTCGGCTCACTGCAACCTCTGTCTCCCGGGTTCAAGCAATTCTCCTGCTTCAGCCTCCCAAATAGCTGAGACTACAGGTGCACTTAACCACACCCAGCTAATGTTTGTATTTTAAGTAGAGACGGGGATTTCACCATGTTGACCAGGATGGTCTTGATCTCTTGACCTTGTGATTTGCTCACCTCAGCTTCCCAAAGTGTTGGGATTACAGGCGTGAGCCATTGTGCCTGGTCAGATGATTATTAAATCACTTTAAGAGTAAGAGCCCTTGGCCGGGCGCGGTGGCTCAAGCCTGTAATCCCAGCACTTTGGGAGGCCGAGGCGGGTGGATCACGAGGTCAAGAGATTGAGACCATCCTGGTCAACATGGTGAAACCCCGTCTCTACTAAAAATACTAAAAATTAGCTGGGCATTGTGGCGTGTGCCTGTAATCCCAGTTACTCAGGAGGCTGAGGCAGGAGAATTGCCCGAACCCAGGAGGCGGAGGTTGCGGTGAGCTGAGATCGCGCCATTGCACTCCAGCCTGGGTAACAAGAGTGAAACTCCATCTCAAAAAAAAAAAAAAAAAAAAAAATAGTAAGAGCCCTTCAAGAGAAAGAAAATGCACCATGTTCTGCCCCTGGGGTTGAGGCTTCAGGCCCTTAGATTTCAGGGTGCAGATGATGACACTGTAAAGCGACCAAAGTCTGAACAAAATGATTGGTACTTCGTTGTCTGATGCACCTAGGCTTTCCTCTCTCCGGACTACAAAAGAGGGCCCATTTTTCTATTGGGTCCGGGCCAGGTGACCCCATTTTGCCTCTCTTCCAGACTGGACCACTATGCTATCATCAAGTTTCCGCTGACCACTGAGTCTGCCATGAAGAAGATAGAAGACAACAACACACTTGTGTTCATTGTGGATGTTAAAGCCAACAAGCACCAGATCAAACAGGCTGTGAAGAAGCTCTATGACATTGATGTGGCCAAGGTCAACACCCTGATTCGGTGAGTTGGGCCTCAAGGGATATGGAGTGGGCTGGACCAGCAGTCTGCAGCCAGAAATCCTGTAGTTCATAAGCTCTCCTTGATGTTTATAGTCCCAGCTATGCAGGAGGATTGCTTGAGCCCCAGGAGTTTGAGACTGCAGTGACCTATGATTGTCCCTTTGTACTCTAGCCTAAGCAATCAAGCAAGACCCTTCCCCAAAAAAATTCCCCTGGACCTTTTAGCAGGGGGAAAAGTTTCCTTGATTTACACTTGGAGTCAGAAGTAGGTTTCCCAGTGTGTGAGCCTTGAGGCAGGAATTACAGACTGCTGTAATTACAGGCCTTTGTAAGGACCTCAGGCAACGCTTTCTAGGACTTGACTGTGGGGTTTGTTGGTGCTTATTTTCTGGGGCCACTAGAATGAGACAGTTCCTTGCAAATTACCTTGGTTTAAGTCTCAACTTGGCCTGTGGTGTTTCCCTTAAGAGAATTGGCTTTGTAGCTTCATAATGTCCTCCGGGCTAATGATGGAAAAATCATTATTGGAAAGGAATGACATGAACAAAGGAACCACTGAAGTGCCAGAGGACTGGGGGAGGAAGTGGGGGAGGGTGTGTGGGCAGTGAAGGCGGCAGGGATTAAGGCTTCCTTCTCTACCCCAGGCCTGATGGAGAGAAGAAGGCATATGTTCGACTGGCTCCTGATTACGATGCTTTGGATGTTGCCAACAAAGTAAGTTTCCTTCCTACAAACTCCTTAATGCTCATCCCTGGGTGCAAATGATGCATATGCTAGTGACCAAAGCCTGGCTTCTGCTGATTAGTCATAATTAACTGACTCCACTTCTATCCTTAAGCCCTGCCCTCCTGTTCCTCATTTTGCTTTCTAAAAATTCCAGTTTAATCTTCATGTTTCAACTCCAGTAATGAGGCTCCTTTTTGTTTTTCAGATTGGGATCATCTAAATGGAGTCCAGCTGGCTAATTCTAAATATATGTATATCTTTTCAACATATACATGCCTCTCTGTCAATTTCTGGTTGGGTGGGAGGCCATACACAGGAACTGTTGTTGTAACTTGCCCACTGCTTGGGCAAGACTCCTGTTCTGCTTATCTTTTTGAAACTCACCCTGCCACTGACTCCTCCATCCTTGATCACTCCAGAGATCTTTGTGACGAGCATTAGTGTCCTAGGAAAACCAGAACTCAGAGCTTGCCTCCATGGTTGAGGGTAACAAAAAGCTTTACAAGAACCCCTTTCATTCCTCGAAGAGGCTATGTGTGAAACCAGTGCCCAGAGTTTGAAGCACGTCAGCATCCATTTCAGGGGAGTGTGGGTTGGCTGGCTTTCGAGTAAGCATTTCGTCCTCACACACCCACTGCTATGTCCAACCGGTCTGTCTGCTTCCCTCACCCCTTGCCCAATAAAAGGACAAGGACTTCAGAGGAGTGCTTTCATTAGTGTTTTCAATAGTGTGGGCGCAGGCTCCGAAGGTAGAGAGGCTTGCCCCAGAGGACGCCCGGGCTTGGGGCTAAGTCCCAGTTTCCATGTGAGGCTGTTTCTGTTCTTAATCCCGTGTTTGCTGTCCCAATCTCTGTGCCTCTTACTCAGTCAAGAACTTGTCTTTGTGTTGCTGCCTGGGGACACGCTCAGGGCAGAAGTCGGAGCGGAGGAGGCGGGAAAAGTAGATCAGGATCATCATGTCCAACATGAGCAGGACAGCTAGCAGGAAGGTGCCCAGGGTCCTCTGGCCCACATAACGCAAGAAGAAATGGGTGAGGTAGGCCTGAGGGGCCAGGCGGAAGAGAAAGTACATGACCAGGTTCACATACTTGTTAACCCGGTAGAGGAGATGATCCTGGGCATTACTGATTTTCATCATCATGCGGATGGTGAGGAAGATGTTGCTGACTTCCACCAGTAGCGTTAAGACACCCCCACCGACAAAACTGCTCCAAAAGATACCAGAGAAGAAGGCACCCATGGCCTAGAGGAAAAAAGAAAAAGTTAGGGAAACCAGATGCAAATGCTTTCCTGTAAGTTGGTGGAGGGCTGGAAAATCCCGAGTTTTTTTTCTCTTCTGGAATAATAGTAGAGAATAAGATGCTTGGTTCTGTTCATTCAACATTACTAGATTTTGATCCCTGCTCACAGCTTCTGGTTGTGGATGGTGTCTCCAATTTAAGGAGCCAGTGAGGCCATGGGTTGCTGGCCTCAGTGAATAAGCACACACACTGCCAACCTCCAGCATCCTCGCATAGGAAGTAGCACACAGGTTGCAGGGGGTGGGGGTGGGGTGTTAAGAAAATAGGCCGCCTCCCAGGTTCGGAAACGCGGTTACTGGCACGAGGCCTATTCCATATAGCCTGCTTCTCTTACCATGATGTGATGGACAAGGTATTCCCAAGAGGCTCGCGCCTGACCGCTAGCCACGATGTCCACCGTGTCGTGGATGAAATACCCTAATGGAGGGATGAGACAATAGGTCACGAACACTGAGCAAGCAGCTTCCTGTCCCCAACTAGCCTTCTGCTTCCTGGGCAAGACCTACCTGCAGAGAAGCAAACGAGCAAATAGCCAGAAAGTGACCATGCTGTCTCAATCTCCACCAACATGTCGGGGGTCTGCCATACACTGTAAGGGTGGGAAGAAAGGAGGCTCACCTTTCCGGTTATCCTTGCCAGCCCCAGGGGAGTCTCGGCTCGCGCTGGTGGCTGACTGGGAAGCTAGGAGCGGCTGGGCAAAACCCAAGTGCCTCGAGTTTCCCAGATGCAATCCCCCTCCCCTGCGGCCACAGCAGCTTTTGGTTGGATAGGATACCAAACGGGATCAGGTGAGAATGCGAGGTCTCAGCCCGCCAGTGAGCGATGGGGGTAGTAACAGAAGAGCCGTCCCCAACTCCCCGCTCAGGATTCCCCTGCCACCTCATTCCCACAGTCGCTCACTCACCACAGCAGCGCCCAGATCCCCGACACAATGGAGTGAGCGAAGGAGACGAGCAAGTTGTGCCAGCGCCAGGTGCGCAGGGGGTCGGCGCGCACGTGCACGGGTAGGGGCAGGCGACAGAGCGCGCGCCGTAGAGCCCGGAAGGTCAGCGTGGCGCCCAAGAGCAGCGGCAGGGCGGGGTGCAGCAGTGGGGGCATGTTGGCCCTCCCTGCTGTCCGCCTGTCCGCCCTCGAGGCCGCCTACTAGGGCTGTTCTGGGAACCGGGATGCCTCTCGACCCGGTCCAGCACAGCCGTCTCTCCCGCCAGCCGCCAGCCCCACACAGCTTCGGCGGAGCCCTCTAGTCCCCTTGGCTCCTCCCCGCCCTCCCCGCGAGGCCTCTGCCCCCGCCCCAAGCTGCCCTCGCCCCCGCCCCGCCCGCCTGCCCCCGCCCCTTAGGCGCCGCGGCCGCGGGAGCCGGTTGTACGCCCGGCCGCCCGGCCCTCGTTGGGCTCCCGCGGACTTCGGGCGACTGGGACCTGTGCTGGGAGAGCGCTGCCGAGGCACCCCTCGCTGGCGCCTCCCGACTGCCGACGGAGTCCCCGCTGCCCTCGCTCGCTTAGCCTCATTAACCCGCGTTCCCACTTTCCCCCGGGCCACCGGTTCCCCGGCCCTGGGCGGGTACCGCGAGAGCTCTCTCCACTTTCTGGGCAGAGCAGGACGGGACCCGGCACGCCCACGCCCCCCTAAGTCCCAGTCCTGGGGTGAGCTCGGGAGCCCAGCTTTCGACAGAGGTCTCCTCGCAGACCCAGTTCCCCGCACCGCACCACTCGCAGTCATCTGGCGGGAGACCCGTGTTTACCTGTGCCTCCCGCTCCCGCAAGGGAACTGCTGAGTAACCCATCGCCACCTCTCCCCGCCCGCTCTTAAGCTGCTAGGGCCGGGCGGCTGTCACAGTCCTCCCTGACAGTCCCGGCCCTCGGCCTGGCTCCCCAGAGTCTGGGCAGGCAAGACCGCCGATTTGCTGGGACTGCTGGGGTGACCCTCGCTCTCCAGGCCGGTGGCGCTGCGGCAGTTCCAGCTCCTGGCCACTAGGTGTCAGCCTGCCCTCACTGTGGTGCGGGCTCCTCCTCCCGCCTCCGAGCGAGGCAGCTGCTTTGGGAGAAAAGTAGGTAAAGTCTGGGGCGAAAGGAGCAGCCTCTAAGAGCCAGCGAGGGAAGTGAAGCGGGGGTCGGGGCACGGAGGGAGAAGAGGGTGGTAATAGAGGAGGGGAGGGGAAAAGCGGGGGTGCTGCGGGAGGGAGGAAGAAGCTAAAAACCCGAGGCGCAAGGACCCAGGGACCAAGCCTTTTGAGTGTTTGCCTCCCCTTACGGCTCCAAGGTGACACATTAACCCCTGTGGGACTCCTAGGTTAACCAAGGCCCAGTCGGTCTCTAGGTGAGAGCACGGGCGTCCCGGGTGAGCGGCTTTTCCGCCCCGCCTCTTGGCTCACAGGCTGCTCTGTCCGCCGGCCGACACCGGCCTGAGCCAGCGCCCTTCCAGCGGTCATTCCACGTATCCGGGTTTGGGTACCCTTGAGAGGGCCAGGGCTGGAGCAGAAGATACAACGTCCCTTTCCTCACAATCCTCTAACAGATTAGAGCCTACTCTAAACATAGGGACTCTAACTCTCAGCTAATGACCATCCTCCTCCTGAATACTGAGGGTTTTGTTTTTGTTTTTGTTTTTGTTTTTGCGATGGAGTCTCGGCCAGGCAAGGTGGCTCACGCTTGTAATCCCAACACTTTGGGAGGCCGAGGTGGGCAGATCACGAGGTCAAGAGATCGAGATCATCCTGGCCAACATGGTGAAACCCCGTCTCTACTAAAACACAAAAATTAGTTGGGTATGGTGACGTGCACCTATAGTCCCAGCTGCTACTCGAGAGGCTGAGGCAGAATAGCTTGAACCCGGGAGGCGGAGGTTGCAGTGAGCCAAGATAGCGTCATTGCACTCCAGCCTGGCGACAGAGGGAGACTCTGTCTTAAAAAAAAAAAAAAAGGTGGGGAGAGACAGATGGAGTTTCCCTCTGTCGCCCAGGCTGGAGTTTGCAATGGCGTGATCTCGGCTAACTGCAATCTCCGTCTCCCGGGTTCAAGCGATTTTCCTGCCTCAGCCTCCCGAGTAGCTGGGATTACAGGCACGCGCCACCAGGTCCAACTAATTTTTGCATTTTTAGTAGAGATGAGGTTTCACCATGTTGGCCAGGAACACCACGTTAGTCTTAAACTCCTGACCTTAGGTGATCTGCCCGCTTAGGCCTCCCATAGTGCTGGGATTACAGGCGTGAGCCACCGCGCCCAGTCGAATGCTAAATTTTATTTTTTTAAATTTATTTATTTATTTATTTATTTATTTATAGTTTGAGACGGAGTTTCGCTCTTGTTACCCAGGCTGGAGTGCAATGGCGCGATCTCGGCTCACCGCAACCTCCGCCTCCTGGGTTCAGGCAATTCTCCTGCCTCAGCCTCCCGAGTAGCTGGGATTACAGGCACGTGCCACCATGCCCAGGTAATTTTTTGTATTTTTAGTAGAGACGGGGTTTCACCATGTTGACCAGGATGGTCTCGATCTCTTGACCTCGTGATCCACCCGCCTCGGCCTCCCAAAGTGCTGGGATTACAGGCTTGAGCCACCGCGCCCGGCCGAATACTAAATTTTTTAAGAGCTTCCGCAGAGCAGGAGCCAGGGAGAACCTGGAATTAACCTCACTTCCGGTCAGGAGCCTTGCTGGGCACGCTAACCAGCCCCCTGCCCCTGGGCTTCTGCCTTAAACTCATTCGGCAGAAACCGCGGTCTTTCCTTGTCCCCGGATGCTTTCAGGTAGTAATCCAGCTCCGCCCCCGTCTTGGCCCGCGGGGTTCACGCTAGATGAGCACTGAAGGCAAAGTACCCTCCTGCAGCGCGCGTGTGTGAAGGAGTTGAGAGTGCTGACGAGCGCGGTGCTCACTAGTCGGGATGGCCTGAGACCGTGTCACGTCCTCCCCAGGTGAATCAACTTAACACAGCTCGGGATTTCCCCCGTCCCTCCCTAGGCAAACACGAAACTAGCTCTGCCGCCTTCTGCCGGGAGCGCTGGTCTCGGTCCTTTTGGTAGTGTTTATCGTTTGTGTGCCAAGGAGAATCCGCTTTCTCCTGAAACAGCGTCACTCGTGGGCAAAGAGGGGGTCAGTCCTCGCTTCCCACCCCCGCCCGGCCTGTGGGGTGCAACTCTCGGGAGCGCGACTTCCTTTTAGTCTAAAAAGCTTTACAAAGGTTGGGTATGTATGTGTGTGGGAGGGGCGGATACCGTGCGGGGCGCGACCTATTTTCTTGCCCTATTCCTTGGACCCTGCGTGGAGCAGGGTCGTGAGGGGAAAAGTGACGGCGTGTCGCAGCTGCAGGTGCGGTGCACGGCCACGAACACCGACGCGGAGCTGAACTCACACGTAGAGCGCTGGCTCCGCCCCGCAAGCCGCTCCCGCGAAGGGGCGGGGCCCAGAGTGGGCAGGTCCGCGCACGCGCCGCGTTGGGGACGGAAGTGAAACTCTAAGAAATGAGATGGAGAAGTACGAGCGGATCCGAGTGGTGGGGAGAGGTGCCTTTGGGTGAGCCAGGGTTCTGGGGGAGGAACTGCTAGGGGAGAGGGAAAATGAGCCGCAATTCTGCCCGCAAAGTCGCCGCCCGCCGAGCCCCGCCCCAAGGCGTGAGCGCCACTCTGGGCAGCCCCGCCCAAGCTTCCGGTCCCAGTCTCGCGGGGAGACTCCGCCTCTATGGAGGCCACTCCCCTCACAAGCCCAGTGCCCCGCCCACTGATTCTTTATTCGTTTGTTCAACAAATACTGAGTGCCAGCTATGCATGTCAGGCTTTGGGCGGTGGGTGTACAGTTAGAACCGGAACAGACGTAGTCTTTTCCCTCTTGGAGCTTACTGACTATAGGAAAATTATATAATAGCCGGGCGCGGTGGCTTACGCCTGTAATTCCAGCACTTTGGGAGGCTGAGGCAGGCTGATCACCTGAGGTCAGGAGTTCGAGATCAGCCTGACCAATATGGTGAAACCCCATCTTTAAAAAAAAAAAAAGAGGCCGGGCGCGGTGGCTCAAGCCTGTAATCCCAGCACTTTGGGAGGCCGAGGCGGGTGGATCACGAGGTCAAGAGATCGAGACCATCCTGGTCAACATGGTGAAACCCCGTCTCTACTAAAAATACAAAAAATTAGCTGGGCATGGTGGTGTGTGCCTGTAATCCCAGCTACTCAGGAGGCTGAGGCAGGAGAATTGCCTGAACCCAGGAGGCAGAGGTTGCGGTGAGCCGAGATCGCACCATTGCACTCCAGCCTGGGTAACAAGAGTGAAACTCCGTCTCAAAAAAAAAAAAGAAAAAAGAAAAAGGAAAATTATACAATAAACAAAACATTGTGAATTATGAATTTATAGCAGTTATGAAGGGTTATTAACAGGTTGTAAGGATAGAGTACATTACTAGGGAGAATACTTACATGAGATGGTCAAGGAGGAATTCTCTGAGAAGGGAGATTTATTTATTTATTTATTTATTAAATTTTTTTTTGCTAAGATGGAGTTTCACCATGTTGGTCAGGCTGGTCTTGAACTCCCGACCTCAGGTGATCCGCCCACCTTGGCCTCCAAAGTGCTGGGATTACAGGCTTGAGCCACTGCACCTGGCCTATTCATTTATTTTTGAGACAGAGTCTCCCTCTGTCACTCAGGCTGGAGTGCAGTGGCATGATCTCGGCACACTGCAACCGCTGCCTCCCAGGTTCAAGCAATTGTCATGTCTCAGCCTCCCGAGTAGCTGGGATTACAGGCATGTACCACCACACCTGGCTAAATTTTTTGGATTTTTTTTTTATACACAGGGTTTCGCCATGTTGGCCAGGCTGGTCTCGAACTCCTGAACTCAGGTGATCTGCCCACCCTGGCCTCTTGAAGTTCTGGGATTACAGGCATGAGCCACCATGCCCAGCCAAAAGTGAGATTTTAAAGCCAAGACTTGGGGAATGAGGATCAGTAGTCTGAAGGTGAGCTTTTCAGAAAGAGGAAATAGCGTATGTGAAATTTCTCACATGGGAATGGAGAAAAAGATTGGTATAGTTGGAATGTAGTGGGCAAGGTAGAGAATGGTATAAAATGTAATTGTTGAGGGCAGGGACTAGATTATGGCCTGGTAACCTGAGGTAAAAGGGTTCATTTGTCAGGAAGGGTTTTTTTGTTTTTTTTTGTTGTCTTTTTTTGGTTTGTCCTTTTTTTGAGACAGAGTCTTGCGCTGTTGCCTAGGCTCAAATACAGTGCCACTATCTCAGTTCACTGCAGCCTCTGACTCCCAGGTTCAAGCAATTCTCCCACCTCAGCCTCCCGAGTAGCTGGTATTACAGGCACATACCACGATGCCTGACTAATATTTTTTTTGAGACGAAGTCTCACTCTGTCCCCCAGGCTGGAGTGAAGTAGTGCAATCTTGTCTCACTGCAACCTCCGCCGCCCTGGTTCAAGCAATTCTCTTGTTTCAGCCTCCCAAGTAGCTGGGACTACAGATGTTTTCCACCATACCCAGCTAATTTTTCTATTTTAATAGAGACGGGGTTTTGATTGTGTTGGCCAGGCTGGTCTCGCACTCCTGACCTCTGGTGATCCACCCACCTTGGCCTCCCAAAGTGCTGGGATTACAGGAGTGGGCCACCATGGCTGGCCCACCACTAAGGGTTTTAAAGGGGGAGAAAGATCCTGAGACTTGGCAGAATTTTTTGAAAAGGGGCAGGGTACAGTGGCTCACAGCTGTAATCCTAGCAATTTGGGAGGCCAAGGTGGGCAATTTCTTGAGCTAAGGGGTTAGAAACCACCCTGGGCCACACAGTGAGTCCCCCTTTCTACAAAAAAAATACAAAAATTAGCCAGGTGTGGTGGCATTGTCATGTGCCTGTAGTCCCAGATACTCGGGAGGCTGAGGTGGGAGGATCACTTGAGCATGGGAGGTTGAGGCTGTAGTAAGCTGAGATTGGACCACTGCACTTCAGTCTGGGTGACAGAGATCCTAAAAAAAAAAAAAAGTACAAGAGAAAAAGAGAGAAAGAAAAGAAGGAGGGATGGGCATGGGGCCTGACGCCTGTAATCCCAGCACTTTGGGAGGCCAAATCAGGTGGATCACCTGAAGTCAAGAGATCCACCCAGTTTTGACCAGCCTGGCTAACACAGTGAAAACTTCATCTCTCCTAAAAACACAAAAATTAGCTGAACATGGTGGCGGGCGCCTTGTAATTGCAGCTACTTGGGAGGCTGAGGCAGGAGAATCACTTGACCCTGGGAGGCAGAGGTTACAGTGAGCCGAGACTGTGCCACTGCACTCCAGCCTCAGCAACAAGAGTGAAACGCCATCTAAAAAAAAAACAAAAAAACAAAAAAAAAAGGGAAGAAAAGAAGAAAGAGGAATGGTCCGATAGGATTTTTAAAAGGCATTCTGGGGATGAGCATGGTAGCTCATGCCTATAATGCCAGCACTTTTGGAGGCTGAGGTGGGAGGATCACTTGAGGCCAGGAGTTCAAGACCAACCTGGCCAATATAGTGAGACCCTATATGTATAAAAAAAAATAAATTAAAAATGAATAAAATGTCATTTTGGTTGCCATGTGGAATTTAGATTGAGGGTGACAGGCATGAAAGGGACGATTTTAGAAACTTGTACATTATTTTAGGCAAGAATGATGATGTCTGTAGGGTAAGGGCTGTAGAGAAGGTACAGAGAATTGGATGGATCTATAATATTTCAGAGGTAGAGATGGGATTTGGTGATGTGTTTGTGTGAGATGGAGGAAAGATTCAAGAGTGATTTTCTTTTCTTTCTTTTTTTTTTTTAAGATGGGGTTTCACCATGTTGGTCAGGCTGGTCTTGAACTCCCGACCTCAGGTGATCTGCCTGCCTTGGCCTCCAAAGTGCTTGGATTACAAGTGTGAGCCACCACGCCCGGCCTATTTTCTTTTTTTTTAAATATATATATAGAGAGAGACAAAGTTTCACTATGTTGGCCAGGCTGGTCTCAAACTCCTGACCTCATGATCTGTCCATCTCGGCCTCCCAAAGTGCTAGGATTACAGGCCTGAGCCACCATGCCTGGCCTCTTTTTTTCTTTTCTTTTCTTTTTTTTTCCTTGAGACAGAGTCTGACTCTGTTACACAGGCTGGAGTGCAGTGGCACGATCTCAGCTCACTGCAACCTCCAACTCCCAGGTTCAAGCAATTCTCCTGCCTCAGCCTCCCAAGTAGCTGGGATTACAGGTGCCTGCCACCATGCCTGGCTAATTTTTGTATTTTGGATAGAGATGAGGTTTTACCATGTTGGCCAGGCTGATCGCAAACTCCTGACCTCAAGTGATCTACCAACCTCAACCTCCCAAAGTGTTGTGATTACAGGTGTGAGCCACCACTCCCCGCCTAGGGAGATTTTCAAGTGTCTTTTTTGTTGTTTTGTTTTGTTTTGAGACTGTCTCACTTCGTCACTCAGGCTGGTGTACAGTGGCGTGATCATGGCTAACTGTAGCTTTAATGTCCCAGGCTCAAGTGATCCTCCCATCTCAGCCTCCAGAGCAGCTGGCAGTGCAGAGGCCACCCTGCTCAGCTAATTTTTTTTTGGAGAGACTGGGTTTCACCATGTTGCCCAGGCTGATCTTGAATGCCTGGACTCAAGTGATCCACAACTTGGCCTTCCAAAGTGTTGAGCCACTTGGCCCTGCCTCAGGTTTCTGATTTGAGCAGTTTCTGATTTTAATAACTGGCGGATTGTGGTATAATTTACCAAGATGGGAGAGACTGAGCCAGAAAGGTCTGGAGGCAGGAATCAAGACTTTTATTTTGAATTTGTTAAAATTTAGGATGATGTGAGCCATTCAAGTGGATATCTGAGTCTGGGGCACAGAGGAGAAGTCTGAGCTAGAGGTAAAAATGGGAGATTTAGATCAGCTTATACTCCATTCATTCAGCTTAATGCTTAATGACCACCTATTGTGTGCCTAATATTGGGCTATGCACTGGGAATATTGTGGTGAACCAGAATGTTGTGCCTGCTTTTATGGACACTGACTACAGAGTTTAAATAAAATAACATGAAGCCGAGCGCGGTGGCTCACGCCTGTAATCCCAGCACTTTGGGAGGCTGAGGCGGGTGGATCACGAGGTCAAGAGATCGAGACCATCCTGGTCAACATGGTGAAACCCCGTCTCTACTAAAATACAAAAATTAGCTGGGCATGGTGGTGCATGTCTGTAATCCCAGCTACTCAGGAGGCTGAGGCAGGAGAATTGCTTGAACCCGGGAGCCGGAAGTTGCAGTGAGCAGAGATCGCGCCATTGCACTCCAGCCTGGGTAACAAGAGCGAAACTCAGTCTCAAAATAAAATAAAATAAAATAAAATAAAATAAAATAATATGAAAAGCTTCTATTCACTGAGCATGTTCTTTGTGCTGGCCACTGCGCTCAGTGCCTTAATGCATTTTCTCATTTGATCCTCTCAACAACCCTGTGAGGCCCATTTTATTTTCAAGACAATGATGTCACATATTGTATCAAACCAGATAACTAGTAAGAGGAGAGCCCAGATTTGAACCCAGGCAGTCTGCAGGGACTTAGAGATCAAGACTAACTTTACCTCACTGTGCCTGTGGTGAAACTGAAGTCCCACACAGCTTGTAGTCAGTTCTCTCTGTTCCCAAGCTCAGCGTTCTATGCACTTGTTTAGATGATCTTAGTCTAGAACCTTCTTCTTCTTTTTTCTTTTTTTTTTTTTTTTTTTTGAGACGGAGTTTCGCTTTTGTTACCCAGGCTGGAGTGCAATGGCACGATCTCGGCTCAACGCAACCTCCGCCTCCTGGGTTCAGGCAATTCTCCTGCCTCAGCCTCCTGAGTAGCTGGGATTACAGGCACGCACCACCATGCCCAGCTAATTTTTTGTATTTTTAGTAGAGACGGGGTTTCACCATGTTGACCAGGATGGTCTCGATCTCTTGACCTCGTGATCCACCCGCCTCTGCCTCCCAAAGTGCTGGGATTACAGGCTTGAGCCACCGCGCCCGGCTTCTTTTTTCTTTTTTTGATATGAATTCTCACTCTGTCACCCAGGCTGGAGTGCAGTGGTGCAATCTCAGCCCACTGCAACCTCCACCTCCCGAGTTCAAGCGATTCTCCTTCCTCAGCCTCCCGAGTAACTGGGACAACAGTTGCGTGCCATCATGCCTGGCTAATTTTTTATATTTTTAGTAGAAACAGGTTTTCACCATATTGGCTAGGCTGGTCTTGAACTCCTGAACTCATGATCCACCCACCTCAGCCTCCCAAAGTGGTACGATTACAGTTGTGAGCCACTGTGCCTGGCCTAGAACCCTCTTCTTTTTTTTTTTTTTGAGACGGAGTTTTGCTCTTATTACCCAGGCTGGAGTGCAATGGCGCGATCTCGCCTCACCGCAACCTCCGCCTCCTGGGTTCAGGCAATTCTCCTGCCTCAGCCTCCTGAGTAGCTGGGATTACAGGCACACGCCACCATGCCCAGCTAATTTTTTGTATTTTTAGTAGAGACAGGGTTTCACCATGTTGACCAGGATGGTCTCGATCTCTTGATCCACCCACCTCGGCCTCCCAAAGTGCTGGGATTACAGGCTTGAGCCACCACGCCCGGCCTAGAACCCTCTTCTAAGAGACATCAGTCACCAGGCTCCCCTGCCCTGCCTGATATGTACCTGGAGGCTCAGCTGTACCTGTCCCTGTTCTCCATATCCCTAGCATTGTGCACCTGTGCCTGCGAAAGGCTGACCAGAAGCTGGTGATCATCAAGCAGATCCCAGTGGAACAGATGACCAAGGACGAGCGGCAGGCAGCCCAGAATGAGTGCCAGGTCCTCAAGCTGCTCAACCACCCCAATGTCATTGAGTACTACGAGAACTTCCTGGAAGACAAAGCCCTCATGATCGCCATGGAATATGCACCAGGTGGGCCAGCCTCCTTATAGTGGCCTGGTTGGAGGGGCCTCTTACCTCTGGAACAGGCAGACATAGATCACCTGGCTTTCCTCCTTGTAATGGGCATGGGAAAGGGTCAGAGTGCTGGCCCCAGTGATCTGCCCCTGGCTGGTCCCTTGTCCTCTCTGGTCCCAGTGCTGTGTTCCATATATAAAAGGAGAGGGGTTGTCCTAGGTATGAGAAAGCCTGGATCTTGATTAGTCCCTTGGGCCGCAGGCGGCACCCTGGCTGAGTTCATCCAAAAGCGCTGCAATTCCCTGCTGGAGGAGGAGACCATCCTGCACTTCTTTGTGCAGATCCTGCTTGCACTGCACCACGTGCACACCCACCTCATCCTGCACCGAGACCTCAAGACGCAGAACATCCTCCTTGACAAACACCGCATGGTCGTCAAGATCGGGGATTTTGGCATCTCCAAGATCCTGAGCAGCAAGAGCAAGGCCTACACGGTGCCTGGGCATGGAGGGGACCTCCAGGGTGCTAGAAGTCTTGAGGGCCAGGGCCTAACCTGCCTTCTCCCCTCCCCCTAAAAAACTCTTGGCCCTTTGGCCCCTGTTTGGGTGGTTCTGCAGGAGGAAGCCCCTTGGCTTGCCTTGAGAAGAAGCTGTCCCCAGATGGGTTCAGGTGCAGAGCCCCTGGTCTTCCTCCCTGCAGGGCTGTGATCCCAGCTTCCCTCCTGCAGGTGGTGGGTACCCCATGCTACATCTCCCCTGAGCTGTGTGAGGGCAAGCCCTATAACCAGAAGAGTGACATCTGGGCCCTGGGCTGTGTCCTCTACGAGCTGGCCAGCCTCAAGAGGGCTTTCGAGGCTGCGGTGAGTGTACGCACCCTCCAGGGGACAACTGGGAAGTCTACCGCTTCTCCAGCAGCCCTCGCTCCAGCCACCTAGGGTTTCTCCTCTGGCTGAGTCATGTCTCTCCCTTTTCAGATTACCCCAGGGAAGAGCTATGGCTATGCCTCAGACTATGGATTTCTAAGAGGAGGTCTTGCCTCCCATTAGACCCAGGGCTCCTGAGGGCAGGGCTGTGGCTCTCCCAAGGGACCTCTCAAGAGTAAGACCAGTTTTTCCAGCATCCTGGGGTTTCTGAGGACATAGCTGCAGCTCCTCTGTCAGACTAGGGATCACTGAAAGCCAGGTTGGACTCCCCTAGCAGTCTGGGAGTCACCTCGTCAGACTGAAGTCTCCTGAGGGCAAAGCTGTTATCCCAGGAGACCAGGGGTTGGGGCTAGGAGGCGCTGCCCTCACTTCGCCAACTTCTCAACCTGGTGCCCTCACAGAACCTGCCAGCCCTCGTGCTGAAGATCATGAGCGGCACCTTTGCACCCATCTCTGACCGGTACAGCCCTGAGCTGCGCCAGCTGGTCCTGAGTCTACTCAGCCTGGAGCCTGCCCAGCGGCCATCACTCAGCCACATCATGGCACAGCCCCTCTGCATCCGTGCCCTCCTCAATCTCCACACCGACGTGGGCAGCATCCGCATGCGGAGGCCTGTGCAGGGAGAGCGAGCAGTCCTGGGCAGCAGGGTGTGGGCACCCAGTGGGAGCACAGGAGGCCTGGGGCAGAGGGGCACCTGGGTAAGTCCTCCCTCCCTGCAGGTAGGAATGTCAGGAGAGTCTTTGTCCTTAGGCCCCCATCTGTCCCTCAGGGTGGAGAAGTCTGTGACCCCCGGCAGCACAGGGAGCAGGACCACCAGTGTCCGCTGCAGAGGTAAGTGAGAAGAGGCCGTCAGTCCCCGTGGATGCCACACTGTTCACATCAGTTTAATAGTCCCCATGCACTGAACCCACAGGTGTCCCCCGGGGACCTGTGAGGCCAGCCATCCCACCACCACTGTCGTCAGTGTACGCGTGGGGTGGCGGGCTGGGCACCCCCCTGCGGCTGCCAATGCTCAACACAGAGGTGGTCCAGGTGGCAGCTGGGCGCACGCAGAAAGCCGGCGTCACACGCTCTGGGCGTCTTATCCTGTGGGAGGTGAGCAGGCTGGTAGGGAGGTGGCCTGGACGAGTGGAAGTGTAGGTCCGCAGCAGGGTGGGGTGCTCAGGCACTGCCCATCCTCCTGCCCCTGCAGGCCCCACCCCTAGGTGCAGGCGGAGGCACCCTCCTTCCTGGGGCAGTGGAGCAGCCACAGCCCCAGTTCATCTCGCGCTTCCTGGAGGGCCAGTCGGGCGTGACCATCAAGCATGTGGCCTGCGGGGACTTCTTCACAGCCTGCCTGACTGGTGAGCCACTGGGCCTACCTCGGGGGGGGGGACTTTCTGTAAGGCCCCACAGAGCACTGGCTCTCTTCTCTTGCAAACCATGCGCTTAATGAATGCCTCCACTGGTCATCAAGCTATTGCTTCTTTCTAGTAACTATTGAGGAGATTTCTTTACACAACCTCCTTGATCCTACGGACAGGCCTGCCAAGACAGTTACAGTATCTTCATTTGACAAGTGGGGACATTAAGGCTCAGAGAGGCTGTCACTTGTCCAAAGTCACATATATTTGAAGAGACGCCTATCCTTTCTCTCTTCCTATCCCATCTTCCCAGCCCTGGTCCCCAACTTATATTGTTGCTGCAATCCCCTGGTGGACAGGGCTATCTGGAATGACTGCTTAACTTCTCTTCCTTCTCCTTCCTCACGGCCCTTCTCCCCAGACCGAGGCATCATCATGACCTTTGGCAGCGGCAGCAATGGGTGCCTGGGCCACGGCAGCCTCACTGACATCAGCCAGGTGGGTATCACATGTATCCTGGGGAGGAGGAAGTTAGGGTATGGCAGGGAGCCCACATCTGAGAGCTGACACCAGATTGGGGACGGGGGAGTTCCCAGCAGCCACAGGTTCCTCTAGCTTCCCAGCTGCACCTGCTCTATGCCGCCTACATCAGGGGAAGTACAGAAAGACCAGGCTGCCCCAGTGGTTGCCCACTTGGCAGTGTGGGTGGCTAGAGTTAAAGGCACAGCCACCTCCAGAGAATGTGCAGCCTCCAGCTTTGTCCCTGCAGGGGGTGTTGAGGCCAGATGGCTAGTCCTAGACCGTTTGCCCAGTCTCTCCTTACTTCCTCTCTTTAGCCCACCATTGTGGAGGCCTTGCTGGGCTATGAGATGGTGCAGGTGGCCTGTGGGGCCTCTCACGTGCTGGCCTTGTCCACTGAGCGAGAACTATTTGCCTGGGGCCGTGGAGACGGGGGTAAGCTGCAGCCTCTAGTCTCATCTCACAGTATCCTCAGCCATGACTCGTTCCCCTTCATACTCACCACCTTCCATCCCACAGCCCATTCTCTCCTCCCTCTTTTCTCTCAAATTCTCTTCATTCATTCAGCAAATCTTTATTTTACACCGACTATGTGCATCAGGCCTTCCTTCGGGTGTTTATGATGTAATGAAGGAAATTTCATTCACCTACCTTTTTTTTTTTTTGAGACAGAGTCTCGCTTCTTCCACCCAGGCTGGAGTACAATAGCACAATCTCGGCTCACTGCAACCTCCACCACCTGGGTTCAAGCAATTCAAGCGATTCTCTGCCTCAGCCTCCCGAGTAGCTGGAATTATAAGTGCCTGTGACCATGCCCGACTAATTTTTGCGTTTTTAGTAGAGACAAGGTTTCACCATCTTGGCTAGACTGGTCTCAAACTCCTGACCTCGTGATCCACCCACCTCAGCCCCCCAAAGTGCTGGGATTACAGGCGTGAGCCACTGTGCCTGGCCATCTACCTATTTTCATTTTTATTTATTTATTATTATTTTTTTAAATATAAAGACAGCGTTTCACCATGTTGGTCAGGCTGGTCTTGAACTCCCGACCTCAGGTGATCCGCCCGCCTTGGCCTCCAAAGTGCTTGGATTACAGGCGTGAGCCACCGCACCCGGCCATACCTATTTTTATTGAGGTCCCTTTGGGTCAGGCGTCAGGGTGGGCACTGAAACTAGAGATGACATTGATGGGTTCCTGTCTTCCTGGAAGACTCAGTCTAGTGGGGGAAAGATGACATCTCCAGCATGCCAGAGAACAGATAACATCAGGGCTACATACCAGGTGCAGAGGTGTGGAACTCAGTGAACAGTCATGTCAACCGGAGGAGAGAGATGACACCTGAACGGGGCTTTTTTTTTTTTTGAGACAGAGTGTCGCTCTTGTTACCCAGGCTGGAGTGCAATGGCATGATCTCGGCTCACCGCAACCTCCGCCTCCTGGGTTCAAGCGATTCTCCTGCCTCAGCCTCCTGAGTAGCTGGGACTACAGGCACACGCCACCATGCCCAGCTAATTTATTTTTTTGTATTTTTAGTAGAGACGGGGTTTCACCATGTTGACCAGGATGGTCTCGATCTCTCGACCTCGTGATCCCCCCGCCTCGGCCTCCCAAAGTGCTGGGATTACAGGCTTGAGCCACCGCGCCTGGCCTGAACAGGGCTTTAAAGGAGGATTTTGGCCACGTGCGGTGGCTCACACCTATAATCCCAGCACTTTGGGAGGCTGAGGCAGGCAGATCACCTGAGGTCAGGAGTTTGAGACCAGCCTGGCCAACATGGAGAAACCTCGTCTCTACTAAAAATACAAAAAATTAGCCAGGCATGGTGCCGCGTGCCTGTAATCCCAGCTACTCAGGAGGCTGAGGCAGGAGAATCGCTTGAACCCAGGAGCTGGAGGTTGCAGTGAGCTGAGATCGTGCCATTGCACTCCAGCCTGGGTGACAGAGTGAGACTCGGTCTCAAAAAATGAAAATAAAAAATAGGCTGGGTGTGGTGGCTTATACCTGTAATCTCAGCACTTTGGGAGTCTGAGGCAGGCAGATCATGAGGTCATGAGATTGAGACCATCCTGGCCAACATGGTGAAACCCCATTTCTACTAAAAATACAAAATATAAAAATAATGAGCTGGGCATGGTGGAGCATGCCTATAATCCCAGCTGCTCTGGAGGCTGAGGCAGGAGAATCACTTGAAAAAGGGAGTTGGAGGTTGCAGTGAGCCAAGATCATGCCATTGCACGCCAGCTTGGCAACAGAGCTAGATTGTCTCAAAATAAAGAAAGAAAGAAAGAATAAAAAATAAAGAAGGAGGATTTCAACCAGCAGAAGGGCCTAGGAAAGGCATTTTGGGCTGAGAGAATAGAAAACTCATGCTGTTCCCTCCCCTCAGTGGGCCCTCCTCATCCTGGCATCACCCCTGCTAAAGCTCAAATTAACCCCTTCTGAGTTTCTTCTTATAGGGAGACTGGGACTAGGCACCAGGGAGTCCCACAGCTGCCCCCAGCAGGTGCCCATGCCCCCGGGACAGGAAGCTCAGCGAGTTGTATGTGGCATCGATTCCTCCATGATCCTCACTGTGCCTGGCCAAGCCCTGGCCTGTGGAAGCAACAGGTGACTAGGTCATCAGGATGACTAACCTGCCCTCGGCTCTCCTTGGCTACCAGTGCTCCGTCCATCATTGCCTACCTCTCACCAAAGACCAGAATTGAGCGGGCTGAGGGTGCTATTGCTTCAACCCAGGGTGGGATCTGCCTTCTGGTACACCAGCTCCTGCCCAAACTGCTGGATTTAGCTTCTGGCTCTGCCCTCAGGTTCAACAAGCTGGGCCTGGACCATCTCTCCCTGGGGGAGGAGCCTGTTCCCCACCAGCAGGTGGAGGAGGCCCTGAGCTTCACACCACTAGGCTCTGCACCTCTGGACCAGGAGCCCCTGCTGAGTGTAGACCTGGGCACTGCTCACTCAGCTGCTGTGACTGGTGAGCAGGACTTGGGTCAGGAGGCCAGAGGGGGACTCATGGTCTCCTTGGTACCCTGTTGAAGCACTCCTTTCCTTCCTCTCCCCCCACAGCCTTGGGTGATTGCTACACTTTTGGCAGCAATCAGCATGGGCAGTTGGGCACCAATGCTCGCCGGGGCAGCCGGGCACCCTGTAAAGTCCAAGGCCTTGAGGGCATCAAGATGGCAGTGGTAGCCTGTGGGGATGCCTTCACTGTAGCTATTGGGGCAGGTGAGGACTGAGTATGGTGGGGACAGACAGTGCCCTGAGCAGTAGGGGGGTTTGCTGCTCAGGGCCACTAGACTCAGCAGCCTCCCGGGGGCCATCCTGGGAATGTGGGAGGGGAGCTGCTGCCCGGGCTGTGTCTGCTTCCCACTTCCTTCCTGGGGATTCTTCCTGGCAGAGGGTGAAGTGTACTCTTGGGGCAAAGGGGCCCGAGGTCGACTGGGAAGGAGGGATGAGGATGCCGGATTCCCTCAGCCAGTGCAACTGGATGAGACACACCCTTACATGGTGACTTCCGTGTCCTGTTGCCATGGAAACACCCTCCTAGCTGTTCGCCGTGAGTTGTAACTTTTCCCACCTCACCACACAGCCCAGCTGGCCCCTCCCCACACTTTCATCCCCAGTGTTCACAGATGCCCATATCACCAAAAGCATCTTTAGCCCCTAGATAAAAGAAAGCAGAAGCTACGGGTAAAAAGCTTAAAGCTTCCTGCCTGGGGTGGGCAAGGCGGGTGCTTTTGGGGCCTCATCAAAGGGTTGCCTGCACTGCTCCCCAGGGTTCACATGCTTTCCTTCTCCTACTCCTGAGTCCAGTTGATGTTGAATCTCTTTTTCTGGCCTATCAGGGTCCACAGTCCAGGGCCCACTGGGAATGGGAGGTGAGTGATGATTTCTGGAGGCACTGCCCTCAGAAGCTGCAAGGGTTTCTCCTCATTACCCTACAGCGGTCACAGACGAGCCAGTCCCCCCATGAGGCACCTGGATACACCTCTGGACCACCCTCATATTGCTTCTCCTCTGAATGTTCTGAAAAACACAGGTGCCCCAGGCATGACTCCCAGCTGTCTCCTGGATTATGTCATCAGTGAGGATGTCGGGGCTGGTGAAATCCCTGCTCTGCTTTTGGCTTTGGACATGGAAACCTCAACCACTTTGTTCTTCCACCACCTTTGCCCTTCCTACCCCTTCTTCCCTTCAGTCAGTGTCCCCAGGGTCCAGTCTGGCTAGAGTTAGAAGGCAAACCCAGCCTTTGGAAGCAAGCAGGGTGGCCTCCAGAGCCTTGTCATAAAAAGACTGAAGGCAGCTGTAGCTCCTCCTCCACCACACAGACCCTGCCCTTTCCCCCAGCCCAGTTAGAAACTAAGTCTGGCCGGGCGCGGTGGCTCAAGCCTGTAATCCCAGCACTTTGGGAGGCCGAGGCGGGTGGATCACGAGGTCGAGAGATCGAGACCATCCTGGTGAACATGGTGAAACCCCGTCTCTACTAAAAGTGCAAAAAATTAGCTGGGCATGGTGGCACGTGCCTGTAATCCGAGCTACTCAGGAGGCTGAGGCAGGAGAATTGCCTGAGCCCAGGAGGCGGAGGTTGCGGTGAGCCGAGATCGCGCCATTGCACTCCAGCCTGGATAACAAGGGCGAAACTCCGTCTCAAAAAAAAAAAAAAAAAAAGAAACTTTAAGTCTGGACCAGCGGTGGTGACTGACACCTGCAGTCCCAGTGCTTTGGGAGGTCAAGGCAGTTGAGGATCCCTTGTGGCCAGGAGTTGGAGACCAGCCTGGGAACCATAGAAAGACTGCTGTCTCCACCAAAAAAACAGAAGAATGACAACAAAATAAGGCTACGTGTGGTTTCTCACGCCTGTAATCCAAGCACTTTGGAGGCCAAAGCACGTGGATCACCTGAGGTTGGGAGTTCAAGACCAGCCTGACCAACATGGTGAAACCCCGTCTTAAAAAAAAAAAAAAAAAAAAAGCCCATTAAAGTTCTCATTATAGGTTCTTTAAAAAAAAAAAAAATACAAAATTAGCTGGGCGTGATGGCGGGTGCCTATAATCCCAGCTACTCTGGAGGCTAAGGCAGAATTCCTTGAATCCAGGAGACGAAGGTTGCAGTGAGTCGAGATCACACCACTGCACTCCAGTCTGGGTGACAGATCAAGACTCCCTCTCAAATGTCCTTGGTGCTCACCGGGATCCATGCTTTGGAGCAGGGCAAGCCAGGGCCTGCCTGGACTGGCCATTATGCCTGCCTAGCTTCGTGTAGCCTGGGGCACGGAGGGTCCCAGGGAGTGTTGCCACCTCCCCCACACTTTCATTCTGAGGCAGGGATTTGCTCGACGTTTGCTGGCCTCCCTTCCCCAGCGGGAAGGCAAGAGCAACCAAGTATCTGCTGCAGAAAAGATCAGCGCTGGGGGGTTGTCCCTCACCCCATGCCTTTCCCCAGAAACGGGAGAAAAGGTAGCTGGTGGGACCAGACTGGTTTCCCAGAGGACAGGAAGTAGCTTTAATAAAAATTTCAGCTGCCTGCCTGGAGTGTGGTGTCTTCAAGGGTGGGAGTGGCGACCAGGCACCCCACGACTGGGCTGGGCCGGACCTCGGTTGCAGGGCTGCGGCCAAGGGAGGAATGTGGGCGCAGCCGGAGGCTGGGGCCGAGGTTGCTCTGGCCCAGTGCCCAGTCCAGCCTCCCCGCCTCAGCTGGGCTTCCCGGAGCTGGTTGCCAGGCTTCGGCTGCCTAGCACCTGGAAGCTGGGGCCCCGGTCCCGGGCGGCTCACGGCCCCGGAGGCCGAGCTATAGCCTCTAAGGAAAAAAAACCTTTGTGGCACGGCCCTTCCCTTTTTCCGACCCGCACTCTCCCGGGGCCCTCTGTCCCATCCTAGTGCCAGGCCCCGCCCGCTCTGGGGAGAAGCAGAGCTGCGAGCTCTCTCCGCCAGGGGAAAGCAAAACACCCGCTCCCGCGGGAAGGCGAGACTGGCAGTCACCCGACCCGAAAGCCTTGCACGCGGGGGTGGGCGGGGCCGCGCGGCTGCGCGGCCCCGCCCCCTCTTCCGGCGGGCGGGCTCCAGAGCTGGGCCCTGGCCGCCGCCGCCAGTCGGCGCCGCCCGGAGCCCGGAGCGCGGCTCCAGTGAGGCGCGGGCTGTGGGGCCGCCGCGTGCCCGGCCCCGCTCGCCCGTGCCGGCCACTTGCCCGCCATGCCCGGCTTCGACTACAAATTCCTGGAGAAGCCCAAGCGACGGCTGCTGTGCCCACTGTGCGGGAAGCCCATGCGCGAGCCTGTGCAGGTTTCCACCTGCGGCCACCGCTTCTGCGACACCTGCCTGCAGGAGTTCCTCAGGTGCGGACCCGGGAACCGGAGCCGGAGACGGCGGGGGCAGGGCGGGGGGGCGCCGCCTGGGGAGGGACTCGAGCTCGGGGCAAACCGGGTCTTTGTCTGCGCCGCGACCCTGTGACCTCAGGGGCGCCCGGTGACGTCACGGGGAAGGGAGAGGTGACGTCAAGCCCCGAGGGAGGACCCCCGCAGGAATCCGAGGGATCTGGGTCCACCTGCCCGGCCCCGGGCGGAAGACCTAGGCGCCTTCCCGCGGGGCGGGGAGGGGAAAAGGCCCTTCCCCCTCACCTGAGAGCCGGCGCGGCCTCAGCCTTGAACTTTGAATCTTGCGGGAAGAGGACAGAACCCGCTCCGGCGCGGCACTTTGAGCCTTCGGAGCTTTCCCCCATGTAACCTCTCCCGATTCTTAGAACGTTCAGAGAACGGAGCTATTGTTCTCCCATTTCACAGATGAGGAAACGAGATTGAAAGAAAGGCTGCGACTTGCCCAGGGTCACACAGTTACTTAAAGGCTTAACCGGGGTTTAAGCTCGGGCTGCTGTGAGCACACAATGGAGGAAGGACTGAATCCTGCCCCGAACCCGGACCCCTCTAGGCGGCTCCCTTCTCTCCCCGGGGCTGGAGTAGGGCGGGTGGGCCATAAGTCGTGAAGAAGGGGGTCGCGCTCGTTGTTGTTACTGAACTCCCGCTGCCCTGTCGGGTCAGCCCTTGGCTCTTGGGCATCCATCAAGTTTCTGGGCGCCCTGTAGTGTCTAGAATCTCCTGGCCATGCAGTGAACCTTTCAGGCCCGGGTGTGGAAGGCAGGGTGAAGAAGCCCCGACTCCTGCGGAGGTCACGTCCCAGAGCGCCAGGGGAGGCTGGGTCGGCTACTGCCTGGCTGTTTGCGGAGCCGAGGGGACCGAGGGCACGGCAGGGAGAGCACCTCTGGGACTCCTGCCTTAACTGCTCCCTCTCTCCGTACCTCCCTCCCTCGCTCGGTCCTCCGCAGCTCTACTCGCGGAAATCTCAGCAGGCCCTTTGTTTTCTGTTCCCCACTGCCGGGGCCGGCTCCTGCCCTCACATATGCTCCTGCACAAGCTGCAAGACTGCCCCCTCCTCCCTGGCCTCTCCCTCCCCCTCCCCCCCGGCAGTGTACACATTTACACTCCTACAGACACAGTCCCATTGTCTCCGCCAGGGCTCTTCCCCTGCCCTCTGGGTTCCAGATGAGGCCAGCTGAGCCCCCCTACCCCTCGACAGCTGACCCACCCTGACTGCCTCGGGGAAGGAGCAGGGGAGGGGGCTGGCTGGCCCGATTCCTTCTACCACTGTCTTGGCCCCTCTCTGCCCCTCCCCCTCCCGGAAATCCCCTCTTCCTCTCCCACTCCCACAGCCCCTCCCCCCATCCTGTCTTCTTCTCTGGGCCTGGGCCTCCACTGCACATCCTGGAGCAGCCTCTGCCCTGCCTCTCCCCCCATCCCCCAGCGCCTGAGCTGTGTTGCTGAGGCTTCTGAAGGGGAGAGGTGGTTGGGCGGGCACTACTCCTCACCCTCACCCGCCACGGAACAAGCACAAGTAAGGGTGTCTACAGCCCTGGCTCGGCCCCAAGCTGCAAGCTAAGCTTCTGCCTGAAGCCTAGGGACTTGCCTCCATCCCCTCCTCGTCTCCAAAACCACTAAGTCAGCACATTCTTGAAGCAGCCATGTGGACCCCTCTCCCCCTGGGCCCACCTCTCTTTCCCCACTCCTGCCTGAGCTGTTAGGTTGGCCCAGGAAGGCTGGTGCCCTGTGGGCAGACACACCCCTTCAGTGCCTGTGCTGCTTGTATTGTCCTTGGTATTGGTAGTGGGGTAGTGGTAGTGGGGTCAAGGGGAGGAGGTGGGTGCTAGAAATCCTTGGGGCAGTTGGGGCCTGGACTGCCCAGACCCTGGAGAGTGCCTCTAGAACTGGGCTGCTGATCGGGCTCTGCTTCCGCCTTGCTCCCTGCCTGCCTCCCACCTACCTGACTCAGACCTGCCAGGAATGCCCTGCCCCAGGGCCTTCAGTCCTGCTGGGTGAGCTCTTGCTCTGCCTCAGCCCTACCAGGCATGGTCGTGGTTGGGGTCAGCAAGGGTGTGTTGACAGAAAGAAGCATGCCAACAGGCTCCTTGGGTGCTGACAGCCAGGTGGGAATCGGTGCAGGAAAAGGCAGGCAGCTTGCAGGAGGGGAGCATCATCAGGCTTCAGAAGCCCACTGAGCAGTGCCCAGAGTCTTAGCTGTGCTTGCCTGGATGTTTTCCCTTGCCCTAGCTTCTCATCCTGTGTGTGTGGTTTAGTAGAGCCTGTTGGAGCTGTGGAGTCAGACACACATAGCCATGTGCTGCTTCATCTGTAAGGTGTTTCATCTGTAAAATGGGGGCATTCCACCCTTTCTCAGAGGCAGGTGGCAAGGGCTGGGTGGGAGTGTAAACAAGTGCCAGGGAGCATGCCTTTCCTCCCCTTTCCCATGGGAGACACACCCTTAAAGGAGCAGGGCTGGGTGAGGTGGCCGCAAGCTGACCTTTGCCCTGGTTCTTGGCAGGGGACCTTCCTGGGGACTGGGCAGCCCTGGCAGGCCCTTAATCTCTGCCTATCCCTGTTCCCCCTCCCAATCAGCTTTCAGCCCAGCCAATGAAAACTAACCAGGGGGGAGGGGGTGACTGTGCAGCCTGTTCCTTTCCCAGTCCAGCTGCCATCCTGGGGGAGGGGGTGCCAGCTGCCACCTGTTGGCCAAGTCCTGACTGAAGCAGCTGTCTGTGCCTCCATTAGGCCCAGACCCCCCTTCCCAGGACAGGGGCTAGGGTCTTCTGGGATCCTGGGGAAGTGGAGCCCCTAGGGCCTTTGCTTGCCCTTTTGTCTCACCTGGGCTGCTTGGGAACCAGTCTAGTGAGGGAAGGAGGCTCCCCTGGTGGAGGGGGTGGAGCCAGGCCTCCCTTTCCCCTAATGAGAAGCCTTGACTCTGCCCCTCCCCCCTTTCAGTGAAGGAGTCTTCAAGTGCCCTGAGGACCAGCTTCCTCTGGACTATGCCAAGGTGAGTCCACACAGCCAGGAAGAAGGCCAACCACAGTCTGTTGCCCTTAGAGGCTGGAGGTGCTGGCAGCCAGTGGGCTCAGGGCCAATGTCAACCAAGAGCCTGGGGATGGTGTGCCCCTACAAAGGTAGCCTGTTCCCTCCTACCAGGCCAGTTTGCAAACGAGGGCCCTGTTTGCCCTGGAGGGCAGGCACAATGCCCAGCCTGTAGGGGTGCACAGAGCTGCTCTGTGCCCGCAAGAAGTGCTCCCTCCCCTTCCGGTGGCAGGCCAGACCTGTGGCTGAGGGCCAGTATCCCTCCACCAGGGGGAAAGAAGCAGAGCCCGGGGGACAGCTTGGGATTGAGCAGGCTAATTGGCTCCCTCTTCAAAGGAAGCGTCCTGTGCTGGCATGTTAGGACCCAGCATCAGAGCAGACGCTGCCTGCTGTGCCCTGCATCCCTGGACACAGAAGGGCAAAGAGCCCGAGAGAGGCTGTTACAGGCTCCAAGGTAGAGCCAGCCCAACTGAGGCTGGGGGTGTGCAATAGGCACTGCAATCGGTTCTCACTCTGGCCAGTTCCCCCTATCCCCACTCCCAGATCTACCCAGACCCAGAGCTGGAAGTACAAGTATTGGGCCTGCCTATCCGCTGCATCCACAGTGAGGAGGGCTGCCGCTGGAGTGGGCCACTGCGTCATCTACAGGTGAGGCTCTGATGGGAGGGCTGGCACCACCTCTCCTATGGCAGGCACTAACCGCAGCCTTCCCACCAGGGCCACCTGAATACCTGCAACTTCAATGTAGTTCCCTGCCCTAATCGCTGCCCCATGAAGCTGAGCCGCCGTGATCTACCTGCACACTTGCAGCATGACTGCCCCAAGCGGCGCCTCAAGTGCGAGTTTTGTGGCTGTGACTTCAGTGGGGAGGCCTATGAGGTGGGTGGGGTCTGGCTGAGTGTGGAGGGGGGGGTACCTGATAGCCTAGGCATCCCTTGACTCAGCACCTCTGACATTTCCATAGAGCCACGAGGGTATGTGCCCCCAAGAGAGTGTCTACTGTGAGAATAAGTGTGGTGCCCGCATGATGCGGCGGCTGCTGGCTCAGCATGCCACCTCGGAGTGCCCCAAGCGCACTCAGCCTTGCACCTACTGCACTAAGGAGTTCGTCTTTGACACCATCCAGGTGAGGCCGTTCCTGAGCAGGGCAGGTGACAGGGAGTCAGGTGACAGGGAGGTTGCAGGGCAGGTGACAGAGAGCCAGGCTATTGACTACTGCCTCTCTGCCTCTGTGGCCCCAGAGCCACCAGTACCAGTGCCCAAGGCTGCCTGTTCCCTGCCCCAACCAGTGTGGTGTGGGCACTGTGGCTCGGGAGGACCTGCCAGGCCATCTGAAGGACAGCTGTAGTACCGCCCTGGTGCTGTGCCCATTCAAAGACTCCGGCTGCAAGCACAGGGTGAGATACCCCTTCTTCTGTCAGCCCCTTTTTGCCCTTGAAGCCCTAGACGGGCTTGGCTTCCTGATGCCACTTAGGCCTTGGTGGTCCCTGCTGTGCTTCTCTGAAGCCATCAGTCCCCCCTGCTGGCCAGCTCCAGCCTCTTCCTAACACCCTCTATCTTCCTCACCTAGAGCTGGGTGCCTGCTACCCTGTACCCACTCTTCTCTCCCCTGGACCTTCCCCTACTAATAATTCTTCTCCCTTCCCCTATGGCCTGGGGCTTTGCCAACAGTGCCCTAAGCTCGCAATGGCACGGCATGTGGAGGAGAGTGTGAAGCCACATTTGGCCATGATGTGTGCCCTGGTGAGCCGGCAACGCCAGGAGCTGCAGGAGCTTCGGCGAGAGCTGGAGGAGCTATCAGTGGGCAGTGATGGTGTGCTCATCTGGAAGATTGGCAGCTATGGGCGACGGCTGCAGGAGGCCAAGGCCAAGCCCAACCTTGAATGCTTCAGCCCAGCCTTCTACACACATAAGTATGGTTACAAGCTGCAGGTGTCTGCATTCCTTAATGGCAATGGCAGTGGCGAGGGCACACACCTCTCACTGTACATTCGCGTGCTGCCTGGCGCCTTTGACAATCTCCTTGAGTGGCCCTTTGCCCGCCGTGTCACCTTCTCCCTGCTGGATCAGAGCGACCCTGGGTTGGCTAAACCACAGCATGTCACTGAGACCTTCCACCCTGACCCAAACTGGAAGAATTTCCAGAAGCCAGGCACTTGGCGGGGCTCCCTGGATGAGAGTTCTCTGGGCTTTGGTTATCCCAAGTTCATCTCCCACCAGGATATCCGAAAGCGAAACTATGTGCGGGATGACGCAGTCTTCATCCGTGCCGCTGTTGAACTGCCCCGGAAGATCCTCAGCTGAGTGCAGGAGGGGCTCAAGGGGAAAGGAGGATGGGGCAGACCTGAGTCAGGCACTGCTGAACTTGGAGAGGGGGCCGGACCCCCGTCCACGGCTTCTGTCTAGATTCTGTTACCCCATTCTTCCTCCCCAAACCACCACCCTCAGGTGCCTCTAATCGGTGCTTCAGCCCTGGCCCCTGTGGGGAACAGGTCTTGGGGTCATCAAGGGCTGGAAACAAGTGACCCCAGGGCCTGTCTCTTCTTGGGTAGGGCAGACATGCCTTGGTGCCGGGTCACACTCTACCCGGACTGAGGTGCCTGCTCAGGTGCTATGTCCCAAGAGCCATAGGGGGGTGGGAGTTGGGGATGGAGGAAGGGTACTTCAAACTCTGTCTTGAGATCTGAGTTTTTCCCCCTTTCCCTACCTGTGCATCCTCTGGTTATTTATTTCCTTAGTGCCAGGAGGGCGCAGCAGGGGAGCCCTGATTTTTAATAAATCCGGAATTGTATTTATTAATTTGCTTTCAGCCTGACTTGTTGGTTAGGGCCCTGGGAGGTTCAACACAATTGAAGGCAAAGAAAGGTTAAGTAAGAGAAGGGCCGCTGCCTGGGTCTGTCCCCAGGATCCATCTGCCCTGTTGGCTCGCCCTCTGGTGGACGCCCGGGGAACTGCATTGGGCTTTGTGTGGAAGACGGGCTCAGCCACTGCCCTCTGGCGATTAAATGCGGGAGGTGCATGGCCTGCCGTTTCATAAGGCTGGAGTCCCTGGTCAGCCCCACCAGGCTAGTGCCTCTGCCCTAGGCAGGTCTTTTTTGGTCTAATGATAATAGGACCGACATTGCTAAGCACTTGATGTTCATTGTTTCATTGAAAACAACTGTCAAGTGAAATGCCTTTTATCACAACTGGCTTAGTGGGTTCTAGAGAAGAGTTAATGAGACAATGCATATTCCTGGCCCAGAATAAGTGCTTAGTGAATGCTTTCTAGCTCCGAACCCCAGCCCACATCGAGTGACTGGATGTTGAGCAAAGGGGCCTTCCAGATGTTCAAGGCACCTGGTTTTCTCATTGGCTTTTCTTACGGGCCTAGTGGGTGCTTGTGATTATCCATATTTCACTGATGGAAATACGAACAGAGGAGTGAATTGACATCATTGATTCTTCTGAGGGTTCGGGCAGGGCCTGGATTCCGTTTTAAACCCCAGTAGCTGTAGTTCCCTCTAATCTTGGCAATAGGTGTGGATCCTTGTGCTTGCTTCTGGCAAGTTTCTGAGCTACATCGGGCCTCCGTTACCTAAACTGGTAAGAGCCTGTTCACCTCCCAGATTTGTTGTCAAGATTAAATGAACTGGTTAGAACACAGTGCCTTACTGTCTTACCTAGCCCTGTATGAGGTTGTATGTATGGGAATCATGAATAAGGGAAGGTTCCAGGGCTTTTTTTTTTTTTAACTCATTATTTCTCTTCCTCAGGGGGTGGGGGTGGGGGTGGGGAATTAATAAAAAAGATGACAAAAAACCTCAGCCTCTGTGGTGCATGCAGTTACTCAGGAGGCTGAGGTGGGAGGATAGCCAGGAAGTGGAGGTTGCAGTGAGCCAAGATTGTGCTACTGTATAATCTCTTGATCTCTTGTGTGGTAGAGTCAGACCCTGTCTAAAAAAAAAAAAAAAAAAAATTATCAGGTGACAGAACAGGACTAAGCCTCAGTGAGCCAGACTGGAGAGCTGATCGTCAGCCAGATCTTTTCAAAAAGGTCAAATTCACTTATCTAGGGAGAAAGGGGCCCTGCTGCATAGCTGAGAAAGCAGAGCTGGGCCTCTTCACCAGATAAGCCATCTTGGTATGGTGATGCCTAGAAACTGGTAGAAAGCAACCATGGCTCCAGCAGCAGAAATGCTTTCAGGCAACAGGCTGAGCCACCCTTCCAGCATCCCAACACACACCTGGCCAGGCACAGTGGCTGGTGCCAATAATCGCAGCATTTTGGGAGCCTGAGTTGGATACCAGCCTGGGCAACAAAGCGAGATGCCCTGTCTCTACAAAAAAATATAAGCGGCCAGGCACAGTGGCTCACTCCTGTAATCCCAGCACTTTGGGAGGCTGAGGTGGGCAGATCACAAGGTCAGGAGTTCAAGACCAGCCTGGCCAATATGGTGAAACCCTGTTTCTACTAAAAATACAAAATTAGCTGGGTGTGGTACTGCCCACCTGTAGTCCCAGCTACTTGGGAGGTTGAGGCAGGATAATCACTTGAACCCAGGAGGCGGAGGTTGCAGTGAGCTGACATTGCGCCATTGCACTCCAGCCTGAGCAAGAGTGTGACTCCATCTCTAAATAAATATATAAATAAATAAATAAGCTGGGCACCTTGGCCAAACAGGCTCCTGTGCTGCCAGGAGACTGCCACTGCATGATTGCAGGAGTCACATTCACATAGATTAGATGGTGCCTCCTAGAGTTGTCTGCAAACAATGGGACAGTTAACCCCATATTCTGCCAGTCTCACAAACCTGGCCCTCATTTCAGTGCTAGTCACAACCTGCAGAATTCAGGCCAGGTTCTGCAATAAAAGTGTGAGCTGGACTCCCCAAGCATCTGCCCCAGCCCAGGAGTCATTCACTCTGGGAGGAGAGCCGTACTTGACTACTGTCTAGCTCTATGACCTTAGGCTGACTGCAGATCTTACTGACACAGAAGACGACAGCTTTCTTTCACAGGGGTGGCATGAGGCATAGTCAAAACACTTACACAAAAGAGCACCTTCGGCTGGCCACAGTGGCTCACGCCTGCAATCCCAACACTGTGAGGCTGAGGCAGGCAGATGACTTGAGGTCAGGAGTTCAAGACCAGCCTGGCTAACATGGCAAAACCCTGTCTTTAATAAAAATACAAAAATTAGCTGGGCATGGTGGTGCACACCTGTAGTCCCAACTTCTTAGGGGGCTGAGGCAGGAGAATTGCTTGAACCCAGGAAGTGGAGGTTGCAGTGAGCCAAGATCATGGCATTGTACTCCATCACGGGCAACAGAGCAAGACTTTCCCTCAAAAATAAAATAAAATAACCCTACAGAAAAGGGAGCTAGGTGCTTTAGTTCCGTCAGCATTCAGGACCTGTGGACTCTTGCTACCAACGGTCTAATTCTACCCTCCCTGAATCCCCCATCTTGTGGAATCAATTTTTTTTTTTTTTTTTTTTGAGATGGAGTCTTGCCCTGTTGCCAGGCTGGAATGCAGTGGCGTGATTTTGGCTCACTGCAACCTCTGCCTCTAGGGTTCAAGCAATTCTCCTGCCTCAGCCTCCCAAGTAGCTGGGACTACAGGTGCATGCCACCACACCTGGCTAATTCTTGTATTTTTAGTAGAGACAGGGTTTCACCATGTTGGCCAGGATGGTCTTGATCTCTTGACCTTGTGATCCACCCACCTTTGCCTCCCAAAGTGCTGGGATTACAGGCCTGGCTAATTTTTGTATTTTTAGTAGAGATGGGGGTTTCACCATATTGGCCAGGCTGGTGTCGAACTCAAATTTTAAAACTAAGTTTGGTGTGATGGCACGTGCCTGTAGTCCCAGCTACTTGGGAGGCTTAAGCAGTTGGATCCCTTGAGCCTGGGAGTTTAAGGCTGCAGTACCACTATCTGGGTGACTAGAGACCATCTTCAAATGCAAAAAAAATATATATATATATATATAATTTTAAAAGAAGCCAGGCACGGTGGCTCATACCTATAATCCCAGCACTTTGGGAGGCTGAGGTGGGCAGATCATGAGGTCAGGAGTTCGAGACCAATCTGGCCAAGATGGTGAAACTCTCTAATAAAAACACAAGCCAGGCGCGGTGGCTCAAGCCTGTAATCCCAGCACTTTGGGAGGCCGAGGCGGGTGGATCACAAGGTCAAGAGATCGAGACCATCCTGGTCAACATGGTGAAACCCCATCTCTACTAAAAAATACAAAAAAAATTAGCTGGGCATGGTGGTGCGTGCCTATAATCCCAGCTACTCAGGAGGCTGAGGCAGGAGAATTGCCTGAACCCAGGAGGCGGAGGTTGCAGTGAGCCGAGATCGTGCCATTGCACTCCAGCCTGGGTAACGAGCGAAACTCCGTCTCAAAAAAATAAAAATAAAAATAAAAACACAAAATTAGCCAGGCGTGGTGGCACGTGCCTGTAGTTCCAGCTACTTGGGAGGCTGAGGCAGAAGTATCGCCTGAACCCAGGAGGCGGAGGTTGCAGTGAGCCAAGATTGCGACACTGTGCTCTGGACGACAAAGTGACACTCTGTCTCAGAAAAAGAAAACAAAACTGATGGCTGGGCGTGCTGGCTCACACCTGTAATCCCAACATTTTGAGAGGCTAAGGTGGGCAGATCACCTGAGATCAGGAGTTCAAGACCATCCTGGCCAACATGGTGAAACCTCGTCTCTACTAAAAATACAAAAATCAGCCAGGCATAGTGGCAGGCACCTATAATCCCAGCTACTCAAGAGGTTGAGGCAGAAGAATTGCTTGAGCCCGGGAGGCAGAGGTTGCAGTGAGTTGAGATCGTGCCATTGCACTTCAGTCTGAGGGACATGAGAGCGACTTGGTCACAAAAATAAGACAAAAAAAAAAAAAATTTTTTTTTTTTTTTTTGAAGAGCCAGGGTCTTACTCATGGGTGCAAGGGATCTACCTCAGCCACCCAAAGAGCTAGTACAGGCATGAGCCACTGCATTCACCCAGAATCAATTTTTCCCTGCATTACATCTTAGCTGAAACTCAGGCTCAGCAGAAGAGGAAGACAACTGCAATCACTCTTTTTCTTATTTTCTTTTTAATTTTTTTAAAAGACAGAGTCTCACTCTGTTGCCCAGGCTGAAGTGCAATGGCACGATACTGGCTCACTGCAACCTCCACCTCCCAGGTTCAAGCCATCTCAGACTTCCGAGTAGCTGGAATTATAGATGCGTGCCACCACACCCAACTAATTTTTGTATTTTTTTTTTTTTTTTAAAGATGGGTTTCACCATGTTGGTCAGGCTGGTCTTGAACTCCCGACCTCAGGTGATCCACCCTTCTTGGCCTCCAAAGTGCTTGGATTACAGGCGTGAGCCACCATGCCCGGCCTAATTTTTGTATTTTTAGTAGAGATGGGGTTTCACCATGTTGGTCAGGCTGTTCTTGAACTCCTGACCTCAGGTGATCCACCCGAATCAGCCTCCCAAAGTGCTGGGATTACAGGTGTGAGCCACCTCGCCTGGCCTAAATCACTCTAGGTAGGTTGTTTTTTTCCCCTCTGCAGACCAAAAAAAGAGAGAAAATTCTCCACAATTCAACGTAAGAAAACTGGAATTGAACCGGGCTCAGTGGCTCACGCCTGTAATCCCAACACTTTGGGAGGCCCAGGCAGGCAGATCATCTGAGGTCGGGAGTTCAAGACCAGCCTGATAAACATGGAGAAACCCAGTCTCTACTAAAAATACAAAATTAGCTGGGCGTGGTGGCTACTCGGGAGGCTGAGCCAAGAGAAACACCTGAA